GAAATTTAGTTTGTCTCTCTTCTTGAAAATGGCAGGGAGCAGCTGTAGTCCCTGACTTGTCTGGATGGGTGTTTAGATGTGACAAAGACTGGAGTCAGTACTGTTGGCACACTTGAGAATTTCATCTTTGGAACACAGGGTATGCCTCTGGTTAATAAGCTGAGCAATAAAATTACACTAAATATAATTGTTAATGCTTTCTTTTAAAAAGGCTAAGTCAGCATTTAGTAAGTTGGATTCATGATTTGCTACCACCTTGGACATGGATGGGAAACTCTTCTTGCCAACCTGAACATGAGCTTCACCATATCCCGGCTCTCACCTGAGAGCTGTCCTGGCTGTTTCTGGTGAGGGCCCTCTGTCACCTGTTAACACCCTGTCCAGTTCAGTGAGAGCCATGATCAAGACGATCAATTTTTAGGGCTTTCCACTGTACTTTGAAGAAGACATTTTCTTACCTACACTTCCCTCTGATGTACCACACTCCTTTGAGTTGTTGATCACAGGTCTCATCTCACATATTAAATTTGATGTTGGAATATAAATGCCAAGTTTGACATCCTCAGAAAAGGTGGGACTCTAACCCAAAGCACTGGACTTCTGATGAATCCGTCATTCCATTGCTTTACCTTTTTTTTTTTTTTAACCCTCTGCGCTCCAAAATATGGTTTAAGATGTCACACTGCGGTTTCCACATCAATTAGAATATAAGGAATGAAGCCAGACGGTGGTGGTGCACGCCTTTAATCCCAGCACTTGGGAGGCAGAGGCAGGCGGATTTCTGAGTTCGAGAGTTCGAGGCTAGCCTGGTCTACAGAGTGAGTTCCAGGACAGCCAGGGCTACACAGAGAAACCCTGTCTCGAAAAACCAAAAAAAAAAAAAAAAAAAAAAGAATATAAGGAATGTACCATCTTGCTTGATGTCTGAAGGGTTTTGCTGGTAAGGATTTGTAATGATCAAGTTACCTTTCCCCATAAACCCAGAACTCACTTATCTCCCAGCAAGTCCTTCATTTGCAAACCGCGTGCTCCAAGCTGCCTTATGGCTGCAGTCTGGAAGTGCAAGTCTGTCTGTCTTGCTGCTTCATCGGGCCTTATAAGGGGGCAGGCTTGAGGCTTCCTGGGCAGGTAGGTGCTCAGGTACATGCTTTACCACCACTCTGTGTCCTGGTGATCTCTGGCTTAGTCTGCTTTCATCATTTTCTTAGGGACTGGCTTGAAAATTGATTCTAATTTTTTATCTCACTCCACAGAAATGAAGAAACTAAATCTAGAAAAAGGAAGTATCTCACTAGTTGCCAAACTTGTAAATTCTCTAATTTCGTCTCATTGACTTGCAGTTATTCCCTTTGTTCTTTCCTCTGCTGAAGCACTAGGCTGTATCACTGGGTGATGTGTAGGGAGTAGAGAGTCTCTGTGGGAAACGTAAGAGCTTGGTTGTGTTCATGGCTCTAATAAAAAGAAAGGATTTTGGCAGCAGTTCTTCTGGGTGACTAGAGACATTCCTCCAGAAATTTCAAGTTGAAGTCTTGGTCTCACCTCTGCCTGTTCGTGTCAGATCTGCTGCCATTTAGAAGCAGGTGGGAATGGGCACGCCTGGGAGAGTTAAAAGGCTGAGAGTCTTCAGTGCATCTGATCTATAATTCATCACAGTCACAAGAGGCTTTTAGGACTAGCTAAGAGAAATGTAGTCGAACTTAGATAAAGTATGAAAAAAAAAAAAGACCATTTGGCTGCTGCTGTCACAGCCTTTAAATGTGGTCAGATGATGGGTGGACTCAGGGGATGGAGAAACACTCAAGACTTGTTGATGTGAGTACTGGGGAAAAGGCCATGTAGGAACTTCAGTCCTGCTACTTCTGAGGAGGCTGCCTATGTACAGCCCTGGATTTCTCTCGTGAGCCTTTGTTTGGAATCACTAGAGCAGAAGCATGTTCTGAAGGTAGGCACTCATGTGGGACAAATGCATTTGGATTTATGAATTTCCTAGGTCTTGTAATGACAATTACCTTAGGCATAGAAGATGAAACAGTGTCCCCTTTCTTTCTAGTAGTACTGTTTTGTTTTGTTTTTTTTTTAACTGATTCATTTTTGGGAAAGGTTGGGATTTTTCTCAGGTTTCACTGACTATTGTTTGCTAGCTCAGACTAGTGCTGTGCCTGGGAACCAGTGACCTCTTTCTTGTCTATCTCATTGCTGTCTGTGGAGCTGCATGTAGGACAGTTCATTGTTTCCCAGGTGTTCACGAAAGGGAGGCTCAGTGGGGACTTGGAAACCCTCTCAGACTAATTTGGAACAACTGGCTCTGGCCTGTCTTGTGAATCTGAGAACATGTGTTGGGAAGATGGAACAGGATCTGACAGTCATTGCCCCCCATTCTGGCTCTAGAGTAAAAGCACATTTTCCTTCACAAAGGTTTTTCCATTAGAAATAAATATGAACAGTTAGTCCTTGACCGTAACACCATAAACATGTCTTGTCTTGGGAACTGAGTGTCATCTGGCATGGTTAATACATGTATGGGAAAAATACATTCCTCTTGAGCAGATTGACAGAGGCCCTCTGGGAAGTTGGTTAGCACGTTCCTGTGACCTAGTGCTTCCAATGCCATTTCACCTGGCCAGAACACTGCATGTACATGGTTCTGGGTAAGTACCTAGAACCTAAACAAACAGCCTCAGCAGTCAGTTCTAGAAAGGTCAAAAACTGCTTTAGTTTTGTACTTGACTACTGTAAGACACTGAACATGTTTGGCAAGTCCTTACATTGAAATCCTGTGTTGAAGTTTGAGGAGAAAAATGCTCCTGTGTTCATGTAAATACTTTAATTTGAACATTATCTCAAAATGCATTTAGGCCTCTTTTTGCTCAAAAGACACCTTGGGTGAAATGTAAGCATTTAACCCAATCATGTTTCTCACTGGGAATAGGTCTGGGAAAGGGCCTGGCTTTGTAGGTCATTTCTGTGTCCTGTCTCAGCTCCATGAATGCTGGCAGCACAAGCATGTGTTGCTGTATCTTGCTAAGTGAGGAGTGCATATGAACAGTTGGGACAAAGTCTAAACTGTTGCGTTAAAGTTTTTTTTTTAAATGTGCATTGGTGTTTTGCCTGCATATATGTCTGTGTGAGGGTGTCAGATCTTGGAGTTACAAAAAGTTGTAAGCTGCCATGTAGGTGGTGGAATTTGAACCTGGGTCCCCTTAATCACTAAGCCAACTCTCTAGCGCCCCCCCTCCCGTTTTTTGTTTTTTTCTTCAAGACAGGGTTTCTCTGTATAGCCCTGGCTGTCTTGGAACTCCCTCTGTAGACCAGGCTGGCCCCGAATTCAGTTCTGCCTGCCTCTGCTTCTCAAGTGCTAGGGTTGGGCTAAAGGGATACACTACCACCCACTGTCACTGGTGCTTCTTTTGGTCAGATTATGTTAACAGTTTGTGAGAAGACTTACCTCCGCCCCCAATAAAGGTGCACCAGTAAAAGAGAACTTGTTGGTCAGTTGTAATGTAGTTGGGGAGGGAGTTAATTCTAGATGCCAGTATTGTGTTCCTGGGGAGAGTCCATTTGGCTCAGTTACCATTCTTTTTAAGCCTGTATAAGTGAGACCTTCCTTTTGATAAGGGAGCAAGAGTGAATGAACCAATGAACTCTTTTCTAATCCCAAGTTGACTGGTTCCCAAAGACCCTGCATTCATTTCTGCTCAGCAGAGAGAGAGAAGCTGTTTGTAGAGAAAGTTAGTGAAGGATGGTAAATGCTTGGTCAGTGGGCATGTATCTGGGCCTTGCTTGCACTGGATTGGGATAGACCATAAAGGCTGCACTGCTCTTAGCACACCCAAGGCCGCCTGTGGAAAATGCACACAAAAGTGGCAAGTTAAGATAGCAATCACTTGAGGTAGCCTGTGTGGTAATCTCTGGTGTCTTAAGAGTTGGAACAGCTACCTTGAAGGCAATGCCACGTGATCATTTTTTTCTGTAGAACAGTCTTATTTAATACTTCCAAGAGCTGCAGGTGTCATCTTTGGGAGTGCCAAATGATCAGAAAGCACTGACTATGCCCTGGTTTTGGTGGCTAGTCTCTGAAAAAATACCACAAAGTATCAGTGTCTAAGACTGAAAGTCACCAGTGACTTTAACAGTTGAGAAGTGAGAATCTGGCTGGAGACGGGGCTCAGGCACTTGTCTAGCAGACTTATAGAATACTGTCATCTTGGCTAACTCTACAGCCACACTTTCTAGATTTTGAATCCTTTAAGCTTTCATTTTATTTATGTGTTGTATATGCACTTACACTCAAGGACCTCAAGTTACTGCTGTGAGTCACCAGATACAGGTACTGGGAACCTAACTCCAGTCCAATGCAAGAGCAGGAAGCTCCCCTAACTTCTGAGTCCTCTAGCTCCCACAGAATGTGACCCCCCCACACCCAAACAGGATCTCAATGTTTGATTCTGTCCAGGCTGGCCTCAGTCTCATAGGCTCGGTCTCTTGGGATTTGGGGTGTATGCCCCTGTGCTTGGCAGAATCTTAACATTTTTTACCTCAAACTGTAAGGGTTCATGATTCGCCGAAGAATGATACCCCAGACTCACATAGTAAGCAAAGAGTCTTTTATTCTGTAGAAGTCCAGCATGCTGGGGTCTACCTCGCAGGCCCACTTTAAAGCACCTTAGGGGAATTCCAGGGATGTGTGTGGGAGTTGGGGGGGTAGGTGACCTCTATCTCAATCTGTTGACTATTGCTAGGGACATTCCAGAACCATTTCTGGAGTGTGGGGGGCTGGAAACTGTTGCTGACCCATTGTCCTTGTCTTCAAACTTTTTAGGGTGGTTGGTACCTTTTACTGAGCAAAAGGTCAGTGGGTTCCTGGTGGCACCGGGGTGTGTTGTAATTGCCCCGCCTCCCATCACTGTCTGAATCTTGCCTAGTTCTGCCACAGCCTAGAAATGGCAGTCCCTGCATTGCAGGACATGTTTGATTGCTGTTGTAAGTTGCCAAACAAATCATTTAATGGCTGGAATAAACTTTTATTTTTTTTAAAAATGACAATACAAAAGTACCTTTACACAATTTATAAAAGCATAATCAATGAAGTGGCTCTCTTTAAAGCAAGTAGAGGAGTCTCACAGTCAAGTGGCACTGTGGGGCATGAGCAGTCCCTGAATACCAACCTGGATGTCTAAGTCCCCAGCATGCTGCCTGTCCCCATCCTCTAGTTTACAGTGAAAAGGCCCTTGTTCAGGCCTTGGTGCTGCTTTCTCTTTTTATAATAACCTTTAAGAACTTGACATTTTTACTTCTCATGAAAAATAATGAAATAACCCTCCCAAACCACTGATATAATCATTAAAATATGACGGTTTTCAACACAACACAAGCAGATCAATAACAAGGATACAAAGATTCTGATTATGTTTAGTTGTATCAGCAGCTGGAAATTCTGAGGTCAACATAATATATGGCTCTTGTCTGAGGAGCTGGAGAAGCTGTGCCGTCACAGCCTCTGGAAATGTGTTGACACACAAGACTTAACTTTGAAGACGTCTTGAAGCAAGGGTAACAGTGTTCACTGCAGACGCCACTGTTTCATGCCCCACGCTGTACAATGTAGTAGGTAGTCTCAAGATGAGTGCACAGGATTCCAGAGAACGTGACGGTCTATCTGACATGGCTGCCAGACCAGCTAGCTTCTCAGGTAGACCAATGCTTTGCTGAATCACTTGAGAGAGATGTGACGCCCACTGCAGGCTGAGTGGGCAAAGCCTGCTGCTCTTGAGGCATGTTTGCCTCCAAACTAAGGTCCCTCCACTTAAGTGTAAGGTGGATTGACCTTACAGTTCCACCGGGGAAGTGGAAACTGTTTATAGAAGGTGTGATATATATTGGGTTGCACACTCTGAGGGTACTATCATAAACACTAAGTATAGAATGTCATTATGTCCCTGGGCACAGGTGGTATAGTCTCAGCCAGAGTGGCCATGGTTTTCAGAGACATTACCTAAGTAGTCTTTGCCCAGCGGTGAAAACACTACGATAGCAAATACTCTTGGGGGCACTGATTGTCTTGCAGAGAGATCCCTGGGAGCCAGGATTACAGAGCTAATATGGCAGAAGATCACTTCCACACCAAGTTACTAAGGGGCCTGACTCTGGGCCAGGCAGAGGGAGGCCACACATTTACAACACAATTGTGGAAAGTTTGATGCTATTTAGAGATAAGCTTCAAACATGCATCTTATTTCAGAAGAAAAATAAGATAAACACCATTAAAAGCATTCAAAAATCAAGTGAAAAGTCATGATGTAACCTAGTGTAAGAATCCATCTGTCCATTCTTAAAATGTCTGTTATAAAAATACTAACCATCTTGGCTTTACTGCTGACGTCTTTGTTCTGTGTCTCCAAACTGTACAGAAATGTCAGGCCATGCATTCACAAATAACACATTTCTTAACATTATACAGTGTAAAAGAGTAAAACACATTTTATTATATATTTTTTTTTCTTTGAGGAAAACAGATGTGTGATAGAGGCTGTTGTGACGTCTTGAAGGGATCAAAACCGGGCAAGGTGTTTTCAAGCCTGCAACAGACAGAGAATGTGTTCAGAGGGCAGCTTTGAGAATCCCATACAGCACTGTCCCTGTGCCCCTGAAACTGGCAGTCTCAGCAGATCTGTGGGCAGTGAAGACTTCAAGCTGGGTGCAATCCAGCACTGGAGACTGAGGTAGGAGGATCAGCTGGGGTTCCAGGTCAGCCAGGGCTAGACAGAGTCCCTGCTAGATGGCTCTTAGTAAACCTCAAATGTCAAGTGACCTGAGTTCAATCCTGGGGACTCATGTGGCAGAGAACAGATTCCTGCAAGATGTCCTCTCACTTCCCTATCTCCACACACTAAAGACAAAGTCCCTCCTTTCCCTGAAGTTTTAACAAAGGCTTGTGTATTTTGCTTTGTGGCAGAGCTGAGGCTGGTCCTGGATTTTTTTTTTTTTTTTTTTTAAATCTGAGAGGAGCTTGCCCAGGCTAAGTCCTGCCAGCCTCAGTTCTGGACTGTGTTAGCCACGCTCTGTAGTGCTGTGTGGGGTACTCTGTAAGCCCATTTTATTCTGTCATTCATTTTATATTCCCCAACTCTCATCTTACTGACCTGTTAGACTCAAAATACAGAAGAGATTTACATACCATTCTGTACAGAGAAATGCTAATGTTGTAACAACAAAGCCTACTAGTTTTAAGGGCCAAGTACAACCACCATGTACCTGTGGAGTTTGCAAAGGCACCAGGGAGAAAGCAAACGGCACAGCCTTCCAGAGTGGGAATGGACATGCATCAGTGTACTGTGCTATTACTCTGTTTTTCTGTCTCTCCTAGTTGTTGCAAATATGGAGTCTTGGCACATCAACAGCTACTTCCTGTAGAACACTGTAGGAATGCTTTAGCCTTGCACACACAGTGACTGCTTCCTTTCCCTGCCCTCTGGCAGCAGTACTCTGAGAAGCATTTATCTAGCAGGGATAAACAACTAATGCCCCTTTAGGGAATTCTCTCTGCTTCCTCAGCTTCTTGGTGTTCACCCATTTAGTGTCAGCGGGAGCCATCTCCTCACTAGGTGGGGATGCCTTTAATCCCATAGGCATGGACATCCAGCTAGTTCCTGGCTAGTCAGAGAGCTACATGTTTAGACCCAGTTTCAAATCTGATAATCAAAGAACTATTCTCCCTGGGAGCAGGACTCTGGGGCAGAAGGTGGCATCACCTTTTAGGTGACAGCAACAGTAGTTCCTTTGTGAGCCTTTGGCCTCCTAGCTTGACACACCTCTGACCTACCAAAGTAGCTTCTATCTCAGCACCCCTGCCCTGCTCCACAGACGACTGGTTCACACAAATGACAAGTTCTACCTCCTAACGCTGAGCATAATCCATCAAACCCAGGCTGTGTGCTGCAAGGGTTCCAGAACAGCTCTGTGCAGAGTCTCCTGGCTTTGAGGGGCACTTTAGGAATACAGAAGCGAGACAGTGACTGTGACTTAGTGTGAAGCTGCTTTCAGAGACAGAGAGAGAGGGGGGAGGGGGGGACAGGATGGGCAAGCTACAGGAAACAGGGCTGCTGCTGTGGGCTGTGTCTGGTGGGGTGGGGGTGGGGTTTAGGTCGAGTTGTTAAAACACTAGTCTCCAACAGCCTCTGTGCACTGGGCCTACTTACTGCTCCACAGACAATCTCAACATCACCATCTGTCCCTGCACTGAGGCCCGGGCAGCTCTGTTCCTTATACAGAAGCCAACATAGCTCTCGGCAACCTCTAACTTCCAGTCTGCAGCCATTTTGCCTTGAGTAACAAAGTGAAAATGATTGCAATGGCTCCTCATGTCTTTTCATACTTTCCCTGGCTTAGATAGGTTCTCACCCTACCTAATGCTACAACCCTCTCATGATGCAGAGACCCCCTCAGCCAGAAAATTATTAAGATTTTATTTATTTTATGTATATGACATGAATACAGACACTCCAGAAGAGGGCACGGATCCCATTACAGACAGTTGTGAGCAGTTGTGACAGACGTGGTTGATGGCAGTTGAACTCAGGTCCTTAACCACTGAGCCATCTCTCCAGCCTTTTTTATTTATTCAGAAAATTATTTTGTTGCTACTTCATAACTAATTTTGCTACTGTCATGAATCTCGATGTAACCCTGCTGGAGGGTTGTTGGACACCCCCCCCCCCCAAGGGGTTGAGACCTACAGGTTGTGAACAATGCCTTAGTCACACATTCAAGACTCTGTCTCGCCTTTTCTTTCTTACCTTCACCCCAGCATTTATAAACTCCCGTCTTTGAAAACTCAACCTTTTCTAGGCTCCCGAATCCTGAAAGGCCTGCAGGACTCAGACTTCTAGATGAGTTATCCTGGATGTTATTTTCTTCTCTAAGATGATCCTTAAGCCCGGATGGAGGTTACAGCAAAATGTTCCTTCATTCCGACACTTGGGCCCCCTCTCTCAACAAGGTTGTAGTCTGCCAGACAGGGCCCTGCACCTAGAGTCCAGCCTGGGCTCTACACAACCAGCTCAGAGGCACCCTTCTATAGGAAGCTGATCCCTGTGGGTAGGAGTAAGTAAGCCTCTCATTTTCCACACGATCCTCCTTCCTTCTCCTGCATCTCTTAACAGGATCTTTTGGAAGTTGGAAAAGGAAAAGTGTAGTTCACTGAGCTTTCCAGAACCTACCATGGAGATGTGATTCTCACATGGGAAAAGAATGTATCCACACTGCCATCTATGTCCCAGACTGAACACAAGGTCAAAATGGAGCTATTTCAGTCCCTGTAAACAAGAGCTTTAGCGAGGAATGGAGCTCAGGCCTTGGAATGTGTTAACAAGGACATTTAAACAGAATCCAAAGACATCCGGGAACACACAGCACCACAGAGGGAAGGCAGGCTGGGGTGACTAGGGGCAGATTCTTTTCATGAGTCTTTTGGGAAAGGGGGCCCGGGGCAGCATGCAAATGCTCTCTCAAAACCCAGAGTAAAAAAAAAAATGCCTGGTAACATGGCTCTGCAAACATCTGACAGACACCTGTGCTTGAACCAGCTCCCGAAGGTTGTCCTGACTTCCTCTGTGACACACACAGGCCACCCCACACTTTAAAAGTAGCAACAACCATGTCAGCGTTGCTTGTGTTGGGGGAAGTTACAGATGTACCCATGTGAAGCCACCGGAGACTGCTTCCTGATATTTTAAAGCAGTGGTCCCTCAACCTGGGGGGCAAGGTCAAATGACCCTTTCACAGGGGGTCACCTAAGACCAGGACCATGGAAAACCACAGATATTCATATTACAATTTGTAACGGGCAAAATTACAGTTATGAAGTAGGAATGAAATTAATTTTGGGGCTGGGATCCCCACAGCATGAGCAAGTGTAGTAGATAAAGGCTTGCAGTGGTAGGAAGGTTGAGAACCACTGTATATACAGAGGTTTTAATCCTAAAACCTTTGGTTTCACACGGTTTTGATGTGTAAGCTCACTAGGGCACTCTGCTGACTGACAGGTAGAGGATCTTACAGGAGAACAACTGTCTGGGCTTCTACATGGCTAAGCCGTGTTCCTGGCCAAGACCAGGTAAGATTCTCCTGGGCAACCCTGCTTCCACCATCTGCATATGCTTGGCCTAACAGCTATTGATTTCCCTCACAGCTTAACTTTAACCTAACATTCATTTCTGCCAGGTCAGGTAAGAAATACTCCGCTGCTGCCCTGAGTCCAAGTAATCATGGGGCATCTGACAAATTAGCTTTCATACCTGTCCGCTTAATTTAATCAAGTACAAATATTTATGGTAAGTGAATATTTGAAACGTTTCAAGTGTTTATAGTCTTCTGTAGAAACCAATCTTCCTGTATTCTCCCTGGCTATGTTGATTCATGGCCTGATCCCTAAGGGCAGATGGACCGCCTCCTTCCTCTGCCCAGGTGTACCTCCGTCGGTCACATGGGAGACAAGAACAGCCTCCCAGCTCTTGCCTGTCTGTAACCCATGGTGGTCCTGGGAATTGCAGTCTTGAGCTGAACTGAGTCACTGTCACCACCTGGCCAGCTTCCCGAGCATTCCAGGGACATGTGACCCTCTAAGTCCTCAGCCCTTGCCACCTCTTCCTCCTTTATCATTAGATCCTTCTGGTATCAGGTATGATGTCCCCACCTACTTCTGACACTGGGCTGGTGGGCCGTTAACAGCTAATATTTTGGATGTGTTACTGCATTTATGTCTAGCACTGAGGAACTCTGGGAAAGTACTTGGCTGGTACGCACAAAGACCTGACTTCTTTCTACCCCGCTGGGTGTGGGGGGGACTCACTCCCACATAAAATGCACGAGTGGCTACAAACTGATCTTTTAAATCACTCCAGAGAAAGGAAAGCCCTTCAAAACCCACAAAGATGATGCATATCATGGCGCTACTGCTGAGAGCCAGGACGAAAAGAAACAGATTACGAGGACATACAGCTAACGGGAAATCCTCAGTGCCCTGCATGATGTATCACATGTGGGACCTTTGACAGCTACTGTGGGAAACCATCAGTGAGAAAAATACAATGTCAGAGGTGCGCACTTCTAAACAAGTGCTAAGAGCTGGTACCCAGCATCGTCCTTCAAGCCCCCAAATGTGGTAATCACCCCCTCGGACAGCTGCCTGATCCCCTGCCCTCGGCAGCAATCGCTCGCCCTCCCCTTGACTCATCTTTTTTTACAGGCACCACAGAAGGAATGAAATTCGCCTCCTTATTTGGGCTGAGCCTTGAAGTGTCCCTGGCATTCCACTACCCACAGCCAATTTCTGCAAAGTCACTGAAAGCTGCCATATGAGGTAGCAGTGGGCAGGCTGTCCCTGTTAATGTACATTATACTCACTTAAAGCCTTCTGCTGAGGGCCAGGCTGGGTGGGACACACCTGGACTCAGCACTCGGAAGGCTGAGGGAGGGAGGACGGGAGGAAGCTCCCAAGTTCCACGCTGGCCTGAGGCGTACAGTGAGAGTCTGCCCTCCTAACCACAATAAACCGAGACAGACCACTGAGGCAGTGACA